CCAATTTCATAATTATGTTTTATTGTTATTCATAGCGATTTCCGTTCAGTTATTGTTTTCGCCGAACCGTCAAAAGCGGCAACGGAAAAACAAACAAGAACTTTTATAGACATCTTAGCATTTTGAATGACCGAAGCATTTAATACAGTCATAAAAAGAATTTGCATGATTATCATTTGTTCTCATTGAGTGACTGCTTTTCAACAGCATTTAACCAAGTTTATTACTTCGCTGATTTTGCTAAGCGGAGCTTGGCATTTGTTACCCCTGTGGCCAAAATAATGGAAGTGATAATTAAATAAGTGCAAATTGATCCGTGCTCATTAAAATGTAAATTTACCAATTTAATTTAAGTAAAAAAATATTTTCGCTTGAGCTTGGTAACGCTTGGTGACACCCAATGAGATATTTACCAATATTAACATTTTCTGGGAGCACACAGTTAATTAACTTCTTAATTAGTCCACATATTCAGCATTAGCACACACAAATGCTTCAACTAGGAAGCCTTGGCTCTTCTCATCCAGCTCTCCAGCTCCTGTGCCCAGCTTTGCTGATGAGTGGCATAACAAACGAAATTTCTGTACTTGACAGCTGCTGCCAGATTTATGTGTTGTTATTGTGGCAACATCGTGCAAAGTGGCAAACACGACTCCTTGTGCAATTGCTCACTTTTCGCCTGGTCGTGTTTCATCAAATAGTTTTTCACTCAACCAACTTTCCAAGGTGGGGCATTGAAACAACACAGCTGAGAAGAGCAGGAACGCAGCTGGTTCTTGTTGTTGTGATTGCAATTCAGTAATGGGAAATTGTGTGTTCTGAAATGAAGCAATGACGTAAGCGGACATAGTCATTGACCTTGTAGTGGCGCTCTCATTACTAATAACCGTATTATTTATAGTTGATTACATGAATTTGGAATTATCGCATTTCCAGTTAATTAAGCTATTCATCTCTTATGGAAGTGCAATGAGTTTAAAGTGATTAATTGATGCTTAATCGATTTACATAATGTTTGATAAATCTGGTATAAGTAATTTGAAGTTTTGTTTTTTTGCTTTATATTCGAATTTTAGTTTGTCAGAAATGAGGGAGCATCAGGAGGACTTAATTGACTAACTGAATAAGTGGCAATTTAAATGAACGCATGTAGTTGGCAAACGAGTCAAGAGACAATAACCTGTTTCTCAGGTTTAAAATTCTTGTACAATGTTGCCAGGAGAATAAAATTCCTTCTCGTTAATCTTGCTGAGAAAAAAACCAGACAGCAAAGAATATGCAGTCAACATAAAGTAGACATAAAAGTAAAGTGATCACCTCTGGCAACGGACTCGTTACAAAGTTCCAAAAGGTTTATTTAATTTTCTCTTTGTACGCACACACACACACTTAACACACACCCCTCGGACACACACATAAATTAAAAATGCATTAAAAACAAATTGCTGACTGGCCGATAAACCGAATCAACGGGATAAATGCCCGGAAATGGCATGGACCAACAAAAAATAATATATATTTATACATATATATATCGATGCGGATATCTTAAATTGCACTTACACCACTACTTATGGTTGAGACAGCCGAATTTCTCATAGTAATATGGGGTTAAGTGAAATGCTAAATGTTTTTTTAATCGTAAATCCATTGATCTTTAATATGTTGTGTTGTCCTTCTCAAAGTCGGTAATAGGTTTGAGTTACGGCGAGGCCATTTGTCAGTCACCAGTCAGCAGTCACCAGTAGTCAGCAAAGGGTGGGTAATGAATAAACAATGAAAGTTTTCACTTCTGTTTGTTTTTGTGTGGGTGCATATAACAATATTTATTCACTCAGCCTGCTCCCATTTGGCTGTCACCCACACAAACAAGCCATGAACTCTGCTCGTTTTCTTATTTGTGTTTCTCTCTTTTTGATTATTTATGTTTGCTTTCTATCAACTCATTTAAAGCTGTTTGTTTGACAATTGCGGTGTTAATTGAAAACGTGTTTTATTCTCTGCTTTCTAAAGCATTGCCAACCATCCGACTCATTATCTTCGAATGTGGATTTATTCTTAAGTCTCTGAAACTATTCAAGCAGGGGATCGTCGTCTCTACTAAATATAACACATTTAAATTTAATCCTAACAATTTGTAATATTAAAGAAGCTTTTAGTAGACCTATAAAACTGATTCGAAGGCAAACTAACCACTTAGCAAATGTCCTTCAAATTCTCTTTTAGCGTCAGTCCTGTGGAACATTAATTGGATATAAGTCAGTTCCAGACACATTCCTCAAATATCTTAATATCGAAGCTAATTTGCATGCTTCCATTTTCCGAGCTTTGGCAAGTGACATGGGAAAATTCAAAGCATTAAATAGATGTGTAAATGTTTGCACAGCTCTTACAAATTACTGCATAAACAAGACTGTGCTGTGAAATATATCAATCCAGGACTTTGGTGACTCAAGACAAGAAGTCAGAGTGTTTAATAAATTATTGTCGAATGCAACACAAAATCAGAATTTTTGACTCTGTTGGCACTTGACGAATGAGCTTTAGGGAGGGCAACTTACTGGACAAATTGAAAGCAATTTGTTGACTAAAGGAATATTTTAAACTTCAGTGAAAGTTTCAACTGCATTCGGCTAACAGGGAAAAGAAGTTAAAGCAATCAAAGTTGCACAAGGAACTTATATAAACTCGAAGTAATACCACTTTTGGTTTGTAAAACTCAACTGAAATATACCCAAAGTGTTTCGCAAAAATCATCAAACGTATTTCATTTCCCATATCAATTCGCATATATTTTTCCATACATGTTGTTGCATTTTTCACTTAAAACTTGGGAAATGTTTAATGTAAGTTTAATTTCTACATGTTCATAACACAATCGACAAAAATATAAAATTTAAGCAACCACTTCAAACTTTTGCCCAGTCAAACTTCTACCGGGACAATTCCCCAATGCTATGCTTGTGTGTGTGTGTGTATGTGTGTGTGAGTGTGTCTATGTGTGTGTGTGTGTGTCTATGTGTGTGAGCGTTTGTTAGAGTTAAATGCCTTTGACCCAAAGCCAAAGTTAGAAAACTCAGCAAGAATTTCAAATTGATTACTATAATTTGCTGTGGGATCTTTTGTGGCCTTTCGGCATTTAAATAAAGATTTACAAACCAAACACGCTCAAAACGTAAGCAAAAAAACATTTTTACCAGAATTTATTGTAAACACTTCAGCACAAAATCATTGAGACAAAAACAATTTGAGACATTTGGGAATGTAGCCGTATAAACCAAGATATTATTTACAAAATCATTTCTTTGGTCCCACAACAGAGATTAGTGCTGAATCTCTTTCACGAACTCCCCATGCATCAGATCATTTGTTTAGCATATATTCAAGTAAAAATATATAAATACTAACCATTTTCATAAGAAAAAGGCGACCACCCAAAAGCAGAGCCAAACCAGTCCAATATTTCAAAATTTGTATTGCTCGTTGCATTCAATTTGCGAAACATTTGCGATTAAAATAAATCTGGAAATTGGGCTTGCTACAATAAAAGCTTATTAGAATTTTAAATGATTCAGACAAATTAAATTATTCATTTGATTTTAGATTTGCTTATTTTTCATATTCACTCGTCATTGCATTAGCAAATTGTTTTCGTTTTTCAACAATATTTGTTTGTTTGCAAATATCAACATTGTACAAATTTTGTTGTTTACATTGCAAATGTAGAATTGAGATTAGTTAGAACGTAACAGCTGGAAACTCCAGACAAATGTATTGTGTTCTCGAAATTGAAACTCCCAGAACAGCGGATACAATTTCATACTTGCTTACATGCCATAACCATAAGGTCTAACAATTGTCCACGATAATTCTCGATATCTATATATATATGGATATTTATACATATTCACACATGTACTTGCTCTTGCTTAAAATTGAGTAGTGCCAACAATTGGATTGTAGTCCGAAATATTCGGATATTTATGGTGCCGATGTTTTAAATGAACAACTTCATAGGCAACAGCAAATATGCAAGATTCGAAAAAGGCAAAGGAAAAGGAAACGTCATCAGTATCACGACCAACATCATCATCCTGGTCATTTAATGCACAAGTTGAGGGAAAATGACCTGTTGTCAGTGACAAGCATTTCCGGTTTGAGTGCAATGTCGGATTCGATGGAGGAGTCGCCATTACTGCTGCCTGTGGCTACAACAACACCTCCAACAGAACTGGACACCAGTTGTGGCAAACTCAATGATTGTTTGCTTGCGGATTGCGATTGTTAAGTTTGCCCGGGTGGAGAATTGAAATTCAACTTCATAATTTAATTCATCAATATTGCATATTCATCAATTTGCATTTACGCAATTGTTTAATTAACCACAGTGCTGTAAAATAATATGTTTAATTTGTGTGACTGACAGGAATAAACGATTATTTTTAATTTTAAATCAGTCTGTATATACGTCACAACAGTTTATTTATTTAGTATATATTTTATTTATAAGGAATCAATTACACTCATTGATGAACATTTTTTCTGAAATAACTGAAAATCTGAAACTAGATAAACTGTTTTGGCTTTGGATTGTGTTCCTAAGCAAATGGAAATTTAACACAAATAAATCTAAAAATAGTTCGAAATTCCTGCTTTATAAAATTTCCCAGCACCAAATCGGTTTACGTGCAAACTAATAGCACAATACATCTATGGCTGAATTGCATAGCAGCTTTACAGAAATTCGACTTTTTGCCTGAAACTAATCAACAGAACTTTACTTAATTTTTGAGCACTTTTTTTTATTGAATAAAGTCTCAATTATACGTAAAAGTGCTAAAATAACAGCACTGACGCTAACTGACGCACATGATTGTAGTAACAGCTGTTTGAAGTTGCAGTGTTGTTAAGTGCCAACACTTTATTGGAAAAATGGAACCAGCTTAGCTCAGGCACAAGTAACTAGTTCTAGAACGAATGCGAATATGCGCATAAAATAAAGGTGCAAATCGCAATAAACTCACATAAAAACATTGAAAAAATGTCTGTACTGCGTTTTCTGGTAACGCGACAGGCTCTGGCGGCGCTAGCAAGGCGTCCGACCTTGACACCGCTGCAGAACTGTCGCCCAATTACATCGTTGGTCAGCAACACAGGCTGCAAAGCAATAATAGCAACAACAACAACAACAGCTGGTGCTGCATGCCAAACGCAATTGCAACAGACGCGTGGACACAAGAAATTTGGCCATGGCGAGGAGAAGACTCCTCGGGTGACGAAATATTTCCATCTTCTGGTGCTCAGTTTGTTTGATCTCGGTGCTGGACTGGGGCAAGTAAGTAGCCAACTGGCATAACCAATAAAAATCGTTAGATATATAAAAAGAATTTATCTATTTTTAGAGTGAAACGCTTGCTGGTGCCCAAAGTGGATGCCGATGCGGGTCAGCGTCCATCCAATGCGGCCGGCGTAAATGGCGAGAGTAGCGACGACACCGATACCGATGACGACGAAGATGATGGTGCGTCCATCAATCTGCACGATGGCAAAAAGATCAAGGAAAAAGTTGGTTTTCGCGAGCGCAAGGTATGCGAAATAAATCCGTGCAACTGATGCGCCAACTAGTGTGACTATGCAATACTGTTTATACTATATACTATTTATATATATAAATATTTACTTGTTTACTTAAGTTCTCTTATGACTTTCGTTTCTTTTTATGTTTGCCCATCACATTTTATGTTGCTATTTACACACAACATCAAAAACAACACACAACACAAATCACATCCACATCAAAGATTATCGAGTATGAGAATCGTATCCGGCAATTCTCGACGCCAGATAAAATCTTTCGCTACTTTGCCACGGTGCGTCTGCAGGATGCCACACAGACAATTGTATGCATGACACCCGAGGACTTTTTGCGCTCAATCTATCCGGGCATTAAGCAGCCAGATGGTAATTCTTGAGTAATTGGCTTATCTTAGACTGTAAATACTAACACGACTCTGATCATAATTGCGTACCAGTTTTATGTTGGCGTCAGCGCTTAGTTTACCCAATATCTTATCACCTTCCACCTTGTCTTGCACTGCCTGCGTTTTTAATCGCTTGAAGCTTAACAAAAGAAATATGTAATTGTAATTTCCCTGAACGCTTATTGCTTAGATCATTGAGTATGAGAATCGCATAAGGCAATTCTCGACGCCAGATAAAGTATTTCGCTACTTTGCCACCATCCAAGTGCCGGTGGCCGACGATCGCCATGAGGTCTACATGACACCAACCGATTTTTTGACTAGCATGACGCCAGGCATGAAACAACCAGATGGTATGTGGCTTTAACCCTCCGATATCAATTCCACATCGATCCCTAAAAAAAAACTAACTAATCTGCAAATATATATTTTGCTCGAATGTGATTAACAAAGTTTGGTCTTCACAGGTTTGGGGCTGGATCAATATCGTCGCTACGATCCCAAGGTAAAACGACTTCAATTGATGTCAATTTCAGGACTTGTGCACTAACTACACTCCTTCTTACAGTCCGTTGGGGATCAGTTAAATTTGCAATTGGAGAAGAACAGCATATTTTATAAGCTGGGCTCCTATGGTTTAATAACGTTCTCCGATTACATTTTTCTGCTCACCGTGCTTTCCAGTAAGTATATTGACCTCTGTGCTCCATGATTGACATACAAAATTCCCGATTCTCGTTTCTTACAGTCTCACGGCGACACTTTGAGATTGCATTTCGCATGTTCGATTTGAATGGGGATGGCGATGTGGATTGCGAGGAGTTTGAAATGGTGGCGACTCTAGTGAGGCAACAGACCAGCATGGGCACCAGGCATCGAGATCACGCAAACACAGGCAACACCTTCAAGGTAATCGCTGTTAGGAATATAGATTGTGACTCTTTCGGCTCTGTTCAGCGATCGAACGAGCGAGCGAGTATATAGAGTGCCGTACTAAACGATCTTTTGTATTGTATATTCTCTGTCTTTTGGCTTTAATCCTATTGAATACGCGTGTCCGTTAAATGCGTGTCTAACTGTGTATATAAATACTTCACTTCCTTTATTTGACTTAACAGTCCCTGAAGGTACTTTTGTAATAACCAACAACAAATGCTTTTTAACTCTTTTCGTTTTGCTACCACACCCCTCACCCACACTACACTCACGTTACTAAATATTCAATTCAATAATTGCACCCATTCTGCACCCAGTTGGGAAACCGTCACACGCCTACAATTTTTCTATTTGTTACACACACGTTGTCAATTTTGTTTTGATATTATTATGGGTATGGAGCTGAATTAAAAGTGACTTCTGCATTTCCCCATGGCAGGGCGTTAACTCGGCCTTGATAACGTATTTCTTTGGGCCAAACATGGATGAGAAGCTGACGATCGAAAAGTTCTTAGACTTTCAGGAGCAACTGCAGCGTGAAATACTTTCTCTCGAGTTCGAGCGCAAGGAGCCCAACGAGGAGGGCAAAATAACCGAGGCGGACTTTGCCGAGCTGTTGCTCGCCTATGCCGGCTATCCGCCCAAGAAGAAGCAAAAGAAACTGAAGCGAGTCAAGCGACGCTTTCGCGACCATGGCACTGGCATATCCGAGCAGGATTACCTCGACTTCTTCCACTTTCTGAACAACATCAATGACGTGGACACGGCGCTGACTTTCTATCATATTGCGGGCGCCTCAATTGATCAGCAGACACTGCAGCATGTGGCCAAAACGGTGGCCATGGTCAACCTGTCCGATCACGTTGTCGATGTCGTCTTCACCATATTCGACGAGAACAGTAAGCAACGCCAACTTAAATTAAGTACTTAAAGTAGCTGAATTCCTATCATAATCCATAGACGACAATCAGCTGAGCAACAAGGAATTCATTTCGGTCATGAAAAATCGCGTGCAACGAGGTCTGGAAAAGCCCAAGGATACAGGCTTCCTGAAAATGATGCGTTCGGTGTTCAAGTGTGCCAAGGAAACAAAACCCGTTCTATTGGACATCTAGTAAACTGTCAGCTGACTTCTTATCATGGATCCTCGCCTATCGAGTGCTCAAAGCGCACTTCTCAGTCATTTTTCTTAAGCTTGCTTTCTTTTTACGTTTTTATGTTTAGTTCAATTTGTACTTAAAAACACTTTAGAGCAATTGAAAAAAAATAACAATCTTTTGGGGTAGTCAACTGTGCAATCTATTAATGAAATTGAATACTTTCCCTATTTTCTAAAGACTATTTTTTTACCATGATTTAACTGCAATTATATAAACTTTAAAATTTTTTAAATTTGACGGGTTTTATAAGAGATTTTAGATTTACTACCCTAAATGTTGTCTTTATAATATATAATTCTTGTATATTTGAACGAATTTTCTAATATCTGTTTTGCTCCTAATGCGTTTATAAAATATATGATAATATTTATGATATATCCTTAATAAGCAAATGCCAACAGTTTTTTATTTGAATTAAACGAATAATAATATAGCTGGTAAACTTAAACATTTTCTTTCATTTCCCGTCCAATTCTGCTGGAATGGAATGCTGAATGAATGAATACAATATATATATAATAATAATCATAATTAATTTATATTGAAATTTTGAGATTTCTCAATATCAGTTATTGGAGATTTATGTTTTAAGCAGACAATTAGATGCTCCAGCATCTAATGACCCGCATTGGAATGCAAGACGTTTAACAATTGGAATGCTTTGCATGAATCTAAGCTAGTTGGCCATTAGGCAACATCTACATCCTGTTCCTCCTCATTCAGATCATCGACACTTACGCCGTACAGCTCCAAGTCGTGCTGTTTCAAATGCTCCGTGTAAGCATCCAGTTGGGTGAATCGCACCTGGCACTCGCAGCACTCGAGCCAATCCTCCACAGAGCTATCGCCATCCTCGCTGTCGGATGAACGATGTCTCTGATGACTTGCCGGGTCCGCCTCCAATTGCGTGTCCAGGCCATGTGTCGCCCGATGCTCCGTGTAGTGCAGATAGTCCTGATATTTGGCCGGACATCGGAGGCACTTGTACCAGCGTTCGCGCACATGCGTCACCATATGCTTCTTCAAGGTGGAGCACTCGCGAAAGGGCTTGCGACACTTGTTGCAACTGAACGGCTTCTCGCCGGTGTGGATCATGTAGTGGCGTTTGAGATTGTGGCGCGTGCCAAAGACACGCTGGCACAGGGGGCAGGGATACGTGCGACGACTACGTGATCGGGCCAGACGACTGGGCGCCACATCGGTGCTCAGCGACGAGGACGAGTTGGCGCTACTGCAGCTGCGTGGCAGCGGCGGCCGTGGTTGGGAAGCGGATGTGGATACAGAAACAGTGGCAGTTGCTGCCGCTGGAGCGGGCAGCGGAGCAGCGGGCACAAGCGTCACCGTCAACATGGGTAGCTGTGATTCAATCGAAGTTGCAGCTGGCGGCGCAGTTGCCCGTTCCTCACTTCGAAATTCCTTCGGTTTCAGTTCGGGTTCCGATTCCTGATCCGGCTCTTCCTCCGATTGCACTTCACAGCCTGGCGGATTGAACAACAGATTCTTGCCCTCGCATTCCGAACAGCGTGTGGAGTCCTGCTCCATGGGCGCATGCAATCGACAGATCATGCATATATAACGCGGATCGTTCATGTGACGACGACGATGCTTCTTAAGATCGCTAAACTCGCGAAAGCGACGATCGCACAAATCACATGGAAAGGGTCGCTCACCTGTTGGATGAATAAATAAAAAAATAAAAAATGATTTAAGCTGATTGCAAGGCGAATATTTCTATTCTAACAATTAGTTGGTAGTGTTGGCCTTACAGTCTCCGATTGGGCAAAATAAACCGCTGGAAAAGTCTTATCAAAATTGAATACTACTAAGAAAACTATAGGCTAAGATTGGGGATTATATAGCGTTATAAACAGGAAAGGTTTCAACTGTAGCAAACTATGATTGTCATTTAAGTGCAGCATTTCATTTACAAATTGTATCTACTTATTTTTACTTCCAGAACTTCTCCAAAACTCGACGAATCTTCATAAGCATTTCAGCTACAAAGTTTTTGTAAAGTTGGAACAGCAATAAGCAAGAAAGTCATCATTCGATTGAAGATATGCCCGATGCACAATTGGGACACAACTGCATCTCACCTGTGTGTATCATCATGTGACGACGCAGATTGTAGTTGGACTGCACCTTCTTGCCGCATGCCTGGCACTGGTAGAAATGACGACTGTTTCGCTTCCTATATGGTCGGGTGGGTCGTCTCTTTGCGGTTGATTTCGATTGATTCGGCTGCTGCTGTGGCTGGTGCAGCTCCTCATCGTCATCCGACTGCAGCACAATAACCTGGCTGGGTTCGACCAGCTCGAAGCTAACTGCAGTCTCAGCGGGCAAATCTTCATCATCAGCGATATCATCGCCGCTCTCTGCTGCTGCTGCCTCCTCACACTCGCTGTCGCTCAGCTCAATCCTGGCCACAATTCGCTGAGGCTGCTGCACTTTCGTGGCAATGAGTTGGATATCGGGCGAGACGCGTTTCAAGCTACGCGCTGCACTAATCACCATAACCGGCGACTGTTGTTCCCCATTCGCCTCATCATCGTCCAACAGCTCGATAATCTGCTGCTGCTGCTGCTGTTGTTGCTGTTGTTGTTGTTGCTGGCGTTGTCGCTCCTGTTGCTGCTGCTGTCCAATTTTGAGCAGCAGACTCTTAATTTTGGCATCATCGATGGACACAAAGTTCTCCTCCGGCTCGCTGTATTCGTAGGTGTTGGGATCGGGCGGGCGCAGGAGCTGACAGCTGACGTCACAGCAAGCAGTGGCCGTGCAACAGCAAGCGTTGGCAGCGCTGACACAGTCGCTGCAGCAGTCGGCGCACACAGCAGGCGCAAGCTCCATGCCCTAATCGATGGAAGAGACAACAAAAAGGAGACCCGAAGAGAGTTCAAATCAAAGAGAGAGCTAAGAGAATCTGAGAGAGAGCAGCTGCGCCAGTACATATGCTATGCTAATTGCAGCTTATGTCCTTGCAACAACAACAACAACAATCGCATACCTTAGCGCAGTACATTAACAACAAACAGTACACAACTTGTGGTGGGGGAGAGGAAAACGCAATTTGTGAGTGGAGCGCAACTTTTTTTTTTTCTTGTCTTTTTTCCCGTGGCCGTTTCGCGATGTTCGCCGAGGCCGAGTGAAGAAGAAACTGGATTCGCAGCTCACTTGCCCGGGCTCAGCAACCTCGACAAACGCCAAAAGTCGAGTTTCAGTCGGTCCGCTGCCGCTGCTCGCTGCGCAGTCTGAATCAGCGAAGCGAAGCAACAACAACAGCAACAACAAACAGCAGCAGCAGCATTAACAACACAGACGGGCGCAACAGGCAAGACGACGGCGACGTCGACTGCGCCGCAGGCTTTTTATTTTTAATGCACGCGCATAATGAAAAAACAAAAACAAAAATAAAATATAATAAAAGAAAGAGCGTTGGCGACCCGGCAAGCTGCTGCTGTTGCTCCTCTCTCTCTCTCTCTCCCAGACCCTGTACCGTTGCGTGCGTTGGCTGTTAACTTGATTTTTCTTCAGCAGCGCTAACCAAAACGAAAAACAAAGAAAATGCGCAGGGCGAACCGAAAGCAAGGCCCCCAAGCAAACACACATACGCACACGTACATACATACATACAACAACAACAATAACAACAACAACAGCAGCAGTACCGATCGAGATCGAGCAGAAGTGAGTGAGAAAGAGAGAGAGAGAGAGAGAGCGCGCCAAATGAAACCAGCGAGCGTCGCGCAAAACTCAACTCACGGTTTTCAAGATTACTTCGAGCAGCGAACAACGAACAGCGAGCAGTGCTGCGGCGCGACGAAGGCGAAGACGCAGACGCAGACGAAGGCAAGCTCCATTAAAGCACGACTGAAGCGAAGCGATTCGTGCTCCCAACAACAACAGCAACAGCAAGCCAGAAGTGGCTGTCGAGCAGCGTGAGCTCCGTGCGCAACCATTTCTTGTTTTTTTTTTTCTTTTTTTCCTTTTTTGCGCAACAGCAGCAACAACAACAAGGGCAGCAGCAGACTTTAATTATTTGCCATTTGTTTTGTATTTTGCTTTATTGGCGTCAGCGCCGACGTCGACAACAAGAGCTTTGAAAATTGGCTGCGTCAGCCTTACGACAGTGTTGAGCAACGACCCACAAGTGGGCGCCCTTCGACGATGTTGCCCTGTGCCGCTGGCATGCCAAACTCTCATTTGTATGCATTTAGCGTGGGTGTTTTTTTTTTGTTCTGAGCAGATCACACTCCTCCAACTGCTGCTGCTCCTCCTCCTCCCAATTTTGTTAGTCGAGTGAGCGATGCGATCGTGACAGCCCAGTACGAAGCGTCGCTAAGCGTGCCTGCGAAACTTGTTTTTTTTTTATAGATCGACGCACGCCCACTCGCCCCACAGCCTGGGCACCTCGCGTGTTTCTGCATCGGCATAAATAGTCGCTTGATGTGCCTGACCGACACTGCCACAGCCACTGGCAGTGTGTATGGGGCAATGCGCTCGGCGCTCCCAACCAGGTGTTCGAACTTTTTCTGAGCCACACTTACCACACACACACACATACATATAGATATATATAAATATATATATATATATATATGTATATGTATATGTATATATGTATATGTACTTATTTGCCTTGGAACTGTAGTGGTATTAAAAGCCTTTAAACTAAAAATAAACATTAGCCGTAAGATATATATTTATACTTTGAAATTTATTGCTCATTTATTATCAAGTGCTTGCGATTTTTAAACTTATAAATCAATAAAGTTGTTTTGACGAACAAATTTATTTATATACTAAAATAAACCAACGAGTTGCGGCATATCATATGCGATATGAAAAATCTTTCATTATCGATGAGAAAAAAAAATGAAGGAAAGGCTAAAAAGAAAAAGGACTTTTGTACATAAATAACCCTTGAAAACTGTGGTAAAATTTTTATGGATTTTAATAGATAGAAATTGTAATAAAATACTTTTCGCTGCAGTAAATCAACTATAAGAAATATAAAAAATTTAAACTAAGATTTGCAATAAACAAGATTTAAAAAATAAAGAAAATCAATTTGCATAAGTATTTTTATACCGAAACCTTTAAAATAGAAAGAAAGAGAATATATATAAAACTATAAGTATTTTTAAATATATGAATTAAAAATACTATTATAAATTCCATTTTATTTTCTTCAATTCAATGCACTATTTGTAATGTAAATTAAAAAAAAAAATGCACTCATCTCGTTTTTAATCTATTGAAAAAAACTTGTTTATTATTGTTTTCTTGTTCATCCAAAAAATAACATTTTGAAGCTAAGTATTTAAATTCGCATACAAGACAAAGACTGCAGTCAATCTGTCTGTTATAAATCGATCGCACATATATACATAATACATACGTGAATATACATATATATAAGAAACATATTTGGCAAAAATTGGATTGATACTATCATCTAAGCGAACTAACAACTAAGTGTAGCGTAAATAGAGCTTAATACGTAAATATACATTAAAGGTGATTTCCATTTCATAAGTATATATCATATCATATCTCATATATTATCTATCGAAAGGACATTGGTAAAGTGAAAGTTGTGAGGTTGAGACATATACATAAAGAATCGATCGATTTGCGCAATAAACATATTAAAAACACATGTTGCTAGTTAATTAATGAGCTACATAAGATACAAAGATACTATTGTTATGGAGAAGGAAGGCAAAAGTTATTCTGATGATATGCAAATGTAGAAAAGATGTGGTGTTTTACGAACTTAATTATGTACAATGCTTACGGCTAAGTCGAACTAAGTAAAGCTCGGGATATTGGGTGGGTGCTGGGTAAGAATAACGCTTGATTGGTGCCAAATATATATATATATATAGAGCTACGTATTTGTTTCTATTTCTTTCTTTTTGCTAATAACTAGGGGCGGCAGCAGCAGCAGCATATACAAATTACAGGGTACAAGCAGCAGCTGCAGTTCGATCTATGGTACATTTGCGATTGCGATCGCTTAAAGCTTTTGCTGGACATCCATTTTGTTGACCTTGCTCGGCTCCAGCGATGTGCCCAGTTTCTCATGGTTCACAATGAACTTCTTGGCCCCGGAGAAGCCCTGCTTATTGATGTAGAAACTCTTCTGGCCAATTGGCGAGCCGCCATCGTCGACGGCAAGCCGATTTAGAAATGTTGCCGCCTTGGCGCCACTGTCGCAGGAGGAGGATTCAATGCTGACTGTCGAACAGCCGCCAATTGACGACGTCTCGCTCTTGGCATCATCCATCAGTGTGGCATCGTCAACCATGTCGTTGACAAGCAATTGGGGACCACCGCCAAGCACACTGCTACACGATGCCGTCGACAATATGGACGAGGTGCGACTGCGACAAGTGTTTGGCTCGCTCTCCGCTATCGAGATGCCCTCATCGATGCTCTGGCTCTGACTGCTGTTGCTGCCTGCCAGGCACATGCCATCCAGGCCATTTACGGGCAGAATGCTGCTCGGCGAGGCGGATACTGGCGAGGGGCAGCCGCTGCTGCTGCTGTTGTTGTTATTCCCACTGCCGCCGCCGGCATTGTTGTTGGTGCACAGCTTCGATATGAAGAGCTTGGGCGTGTTGCGTCCATCGTAAGTGCCCGAATCGGGACTAGGACACACGGATGACGGCGATTGGCACACGGGCGACGAGCCGCGACTGCAATTTGACAAAGTTGAGTTACTAACGAGAATTATAATTACTTTGGCCTCGAATGTTTTGATTGCTTCAATTATCATTGATGGAAAATTTATACTAACAATTATTTCTCACTTCTGATCAATTTGAATAAACAACAACGAAAGCGTTCAAAGTCGAGATTCGATTACTTACCTGTCGGTGAAGATCTTCTTTGGCGGTGGCGAGTAGACGCTCCAGTTGCTGACGCCTGGATTATTGTCATCCAACTCAAATTTGCGCTTGACGGGACCCAAAGATGAGGGTCGCATCGGTATGGGCGACATCGAGCGCCGTGTGGAGAATGTACGACGTGTCGGCGATGGTGAATACGGCAGACGGATTCCCGCTCGATTGTTGGTGGGACTGGGACTGGAGCAGCTGGTGCTGTTGCTGCTGCCGCCCGTCGGTGGCAGGACGACTTGCAGCGGATTGGAGAACTCATCCGATTTGCACGACCAATTCTCGGCGACTAGTGTCAGATCCTCCCAGCTCTGAGAGATCTGTATCTCGCGATGCACCTCCCGCTCATGATTCACCTCGCGACTGTTCAGATCCGCGCACTCCTCTTGCCGCAGCTGTGAGACGCGTGGTGTTAAACACAGTGCCGACTGGCCAATTGTTGCACCACCCGCACCAACACCACCAGCCCCACCACCACCACCGCCTAGAGCCGGACTGTAGCTGGCAGAATAGCGACGCGCACGTGGCGTAAACAGATTGAACATCGGAGCCGGCGACACCTCACGGGAGCTGGGCTGCGATCGAATGTGGATATTCTTGCCAAAGCAATCGATGCCAGCCGCTGTGCTGAGACTGAACTCGGGACGCTGCTGCTGCTGTTGCAGCTTCTTTGGTGTCTGCTCCCTGGCAGCAGCGGCTGCTGCGGCGGCGGCCCGTGTCGTCATCGGCGTTGGCGTCGGTGTCGGTTTGCCCGACAGCGTGCGTATTATAGGCACGCTGAGGCAGCGCTTCAACGTCTTCGAGCTGCTGCTCGGTGGCGGCTCCAGCGTATCCATTGGGACAGACGCTTCTTCGCCCTCAGCTGGCCTCTGCTTAATGTTTGGCAGATCATCGTTGCTGTTGCTGCCACTGCTGCTGCTGCTGTTGCTGCTGCTGCTGCTGCTACTGCTGCTGCTGGCGTTCGTATCCATTGAAACGAGTCGTCGTCGTCTAAAAATAAAAACTATGTGTGTGCTTTACTAGGTTTTGTTTTTTTTCTTTTTCTTTTTTTTTGCTATACGCTAAGATGTGGGTATTTTTAATGTTTTGTGGGTTTCAGTTGCTATAAAATTGCCTGTCAACAAACACACACACACGCACATGCACACACACACACTGTCGCTATACAACACACAACACATTTTGATTCTTGCTCGCTCGCTCGCACTCATCTGGCGCTGGTTCAGTTTATGGCTTGTTCGGTTCACTTGGGCAGCTCAAAATGCATTTGGGGCATTTGTTTTATCTAGTTGTTCCAAGTTAGGTTTTATCCGTAAATTCTTATACGGCCGCCAATGCAGCTCTCAGCGTTGCTGTCAACGTCGGCGTCGTCGTCGTCGTCGTTGGCGACGTCAGCGTCGGCGTCAATATTTTTTCGCCCAAGCAACTGCGAGTGGCAAGATTTTTGCTTGCTTTGTACACCGTCTATTCGCAGTTAAGGCATGCAAATGTTGCACAATTTAGTTGGGCAACAGTTTGTTGCTGCTTTTGGTTAACATTTGCTGGCTTAACAACTTAGCAAAATGCTTGAATTTACTTACAAAGTTATGTCCTGTGATTACAATTTTCTTCGGTCAATTTTAGTTTTTTCTCAGTGTTGAGTAACGTCATCGGCATGGTGGACAGATACGTTCAGACATTCAAGCAAAATCAGCGTCAGCAATGAATAACCATTTGTTGCTCGAGTAAATACAACAATTATTCACGACATTTAAATTACAAATATGTTGCGAAATATTCTCTCTTCATGTGTGCACAACCAATTTTGTTGCCAATTGCTTAAGTACAAATGCGTGGTGTTGCGTTGATCGGTTCTGTCTGAAGAGTCGCACGCCAGTGCTCGACCACTAATGCCGTAAGCTTTGACGTTGTGCAACACTGTGAGAGCGCGCACTTTAAAATATCACACTTTTCACATAAGCACTTAACGTTAACACGCGCACAAATTGAAAAAGGCAGTGAGAAAAGTTCATTTAATATATATATATATATATTTACTATATGCGAAACTTAAGAAAGTGGTCATACCAAGATGTATGTGTGTATAAGCTAAATTTTAATTTGGTAGTTAACTTAACAAAAATCACAACTAATCATAATAACACATTCCGAGATACTTTCATTCCAATCGGTTGCATAAACTAATTTATGTCGTAAATCATAAGTAATATGTGTAAGTAACGCGGAACTTAATTTTTTTTGTATCTCACTTACTGAATTTATAATACTTTTTTTATACTAAATATAATGTTTTTTCTTATTGCGAAACATTCATGGGTGTTCTACAGCTAAATTACATTTTATGCTAATTTCTTTGTTTTGTTAGTTGACGCCAGTTACTCTTCTTGGTTTAATCATCTTCTGTCTCTTGGATGGTATTCATTTGCGACAATTGAAATCGTTTAGAAATTTACTTGAGTAAATTAGAGGAGAAATTAAATCAGTATACTGTAGAAGCATCCTACAACTAATTTGTAGTATCATAATGAGCGGTGTTATGTGTATGTAAATGGAAATCGAGTTGCATTATCTTTTCCGTTTTGAGTTGACTAAATTGGCAAACGCATCGGCTGCTATGGCATGCGGAGGGCTTCTCAGCGAGCGACTGCATCCTTAGCCATCGGCCAGGGAGGGTGTAACCCAGCCATACTTCTCGTGCGTTTTGACCAACGAGCGGAACGACTCCTCTGCCTGGCGGCTGCAACGACAACAACAAATTGGATAAAGAAATGATTAAAAATAAAGACTGATTTCGATGAACGCACCGACTAAACTCCTTTGTACTTTTCGGTTTGCGCGCAATGCGACCCTGTCCCTTAACAACGCTGGCCGCGAACTGCATGATCACCGCCTCGACGGTGTAGGCACTGGCCCAGCCCCTCGGTGTGAGCAGCTCCATGCAAATGGCGCCACCCTCCATCACGTAACCCTTCTCGATGCGCGGCTCTACGACACGCATAAAGGGTGGCGCAAAGGGAAAGTTGTCGGGAAAGCTCAAATGCAACAGAATCGCCGGCACATTCATCTCAACCATGTCGTGGGCCAACGGCGAGTCCGGATCGATGACATGCAATCGCACATGCCACTCAAATAGACTGTCATGGACCAGCTCCACCTGTAACGAGGGACAAATAAGCTTCAAATTAGTTTTGTGCAGATTATTTCTAGATTGTAGCAGACGATTTTTTTTGCAGCTGCATATTATTGTTATTTAAATTATTTAATTATTTAAATTTAAAGTTCGTGAAAATGTTTAACTATTTATAGCAGAAATGTGCCCAAATCTCACTTTGCGTATTGAATTTTAAGATTGTGAAACACTTTAATATTAAGCGAAATCTAAAGCAGTTCTCTTTACAGATTTTAATACAAAACATAACTTTACGTTTAAATATACCCTATTTTTTTATTTAAAAAAAAATAAAGGGAACCACTTTCGTAAATTACGTGTGGAGTTAACTATTGCAAAGCTACGAACGACAGTTTAAACACAGGAGATGATCTTAAATATATTTCCAAGCCTATATTAATTTATGCTGAATTGCAAGGAATTAAACAAAAAATCCAAAACTTAAGGAATTGAATTTAGGCTTTCTGCATGCATTCTATATGGCATCTTCTAATATATACTTGGTGCTAAAGACCAATACAATTATAGAATCAAGTAATTCACTTGCTATGACTGCATTAATTTTAGTATAATAATAATAATATATATAATAAGGAAGACGAATTCGCCATAAGATATATATAACACTTATATTTTGGCATTACCGTAAAAACGGCATCGTTCTTGGTCTGCAAGCGTTCCATTTCGCGGAACTCCTTCATCAGGCGACGTGAGCGTATGGTGGTATCGGGTGGCATCAACAGCGAGCGTCCAGTAGCTGGTGCCACTCTGAAAAACGGCAAAGGTTCATGAGTTTAGCTTGTGATTGCCACATGTTTTGTGATTGCCATTGCACTTACTTGTGATCCTGGCGGAGTCGCTTGCCCGGAGACTCGCAGACTGGATGCTCTGCGCGCTGCCGCAAGAGAGCATTCCGTAGGCTTAACTGAGTTGCTGGCCCGGCTCCATTTCCATTTCCAACTCCAGCTGCAGCTTCATTTGCTGCAGCTCCAGATGCTGTAGTTGCTGCGGCTGCCGCTGCTGCTGTCGCGCCTGGAGCAGATCCAGTGGCGGCTGCGACATCAATAACCGGATTGTTATTCAGATTATTATTGTTGTTGTTGTTGTTGTTGCTGCTGCTGCTGTGCTCGGCGCCATCGGCCTCATCGCTGCTCTTATCGTTGTTGTTATTGTTGTTGTTATTGTTATTATTGTTGTTGTTGTTGTTCCTGGACTTTTGGAAAATTTGGCGAAGAACGGAAACGACTCTTTCTTTGGAACGCGATGACATGTTTGCAATGTTTCTTCTCTTTGTTTTCTCTAGCGGTGGATTTTATTTCTAGTTACAACTTTCACTACTGAGCGAGTGTGTGTGTCCCTGTGTGTGTCAGTGTGTGTGTGTGAGCGTAATTTTTCAGTCTTTATTTTATAAAATTGTTGTTGTGGCGCAGGCGTCAATTGTGCTGCAAGCAGAGACATGATTATTATATATTAACAAGTTTGCTTTTATTCGCTACAAAATGATAAGATTGCCAGCTGAAAACATTCCCCTCCCTTTTTTTTTGATGGCACATAGAAATGTCCCTGACCTACGCCTCATTTCATGTTGTACAGATTTTCGCAAGCGACCTTGGAATCAGTAATGATAAAGAAAAAAAACACACAAATATGTCACATACTGGCTTGACTCTGTGTGGATACCCTGCAATCCTTGCAAGCATTCGGCCAGGCTGTTATCCATTAGCGAGCATCTTTTTATATAGATGAGGGGTTGTTTGTTTTGTTATGTGTTTTATGACTAAAGGGAAAATCTTAAAATAGTTTTTATTTATGGGTCTTTAAAGATAATCTGTCTGCGATAGCGAACAAAGGAACTCAAGAGACCCTTCTCTGGCTGTCTCTCGCTCTCTCTTTAAATACAGCAAAGCTCCAACAACATCCTTGACAACATTTTCAAGATTAAACAAATAATATATATATATATATTTAACATATATATGTTAAATACTCAGCCAACTATAAACGAGGCAAGCAGAAACAAAAAGCTCATAAAGAATAACAAAAAAAATCAGCAAAACGGCGACGACGATATAAAAAAAAGCTTATTGCGACGTAGCCAAGAGTTACCAGGCCGTCAGGCTGGAAGGGCGGGCGGGGCGTGGCTGGGAGCGGGATTTCAAGCGGTTGGGGGGATATATTTCTCAACTTTTATGTGTAAAAGTTTTGCAGCCAGCTCAGGGGCAAAGTAAATGCTGTGTGTGTGTGTGTGGGGAGACTGGGCACGGATTTGATGCACGTGGATGCCAGCTTAGGTGTTGACCATGGGCCAAAACTGTTCCACTTGCGTATAATTAGCTGAGCCGTTGCTTTGGAGACCGGACATCAGGTAGCATCACAGGGATCAGAGCAGGCTTGGAGCCAGGCCAATCCAATACCCATGGGGCAACATTTTGTATTATGGCTGGGTATATTTATGCTTATTTTTCTTATTATCAAATGCATTAGATGGTGAGGTTAACAAGGCGACCAGCTTTAGTGCCCCAAAGTAAGCCCTGAAACTGCAGTGGGTAAATAATTAATTAATTCAGCGTTTCAGAGAATTTGGAAAGAATGATTTAATATTAAATTCTCGCATTTTGACTTGATTTTATTGTCATACTAATTTATTCTTCTTTCACTTTTTATTGCGGACCGAAGAACATCTTCTTATTAAACGATCATGCGTACAGTGGTCCCTCACATGTATATTTTCTGCTATTTAACGGACAACAAATTGGAAAGTTTTCTACTATATTTAATATTTAATAACTATTAAAAAAAAAAATCGTTGTCTTTTGTAAAAATTGTATTTATTCAATGAGCATCTGATTTTCTGTTTTTGCATAATGAATGAAAAGCTTACAATGAAAAGATAACGTTCTGTTTTATTTAATCGGTTATTAATATTTTTGTGTACCTTTTCGCATGAATTTGCTTCAATTTCTTTTCATGTTCTTTCAAATGGTCAAATTGTGCTGCCAATTCAATTAACCGCTGAACTGTTGCCGTATCTCGTCTGTGTCCGAGAACAACAAATTATGATTGATTGATGTACTGCTGAACGGGATAAATGCCAATAGCACATCAGACGGTCGACATATGTAAGCTGAAAGTCGACTATTAATATAGCAGAAATCTCATTAAAGACGGAGTTCAGTTAAGGTCGCATTAGGCTATTTATCGATCTATTGTTGATTGGATATTTCCTGCCCAGCGATGACGACTATTTATAGATTGCTGCAAGTTTTACACTTTTGCTTTCAGCCCAGACGAGACTCCATTCCAGACAAGGCCAAGCAGGGACACAAGTTCGAGCGAGGCAAGCTCCTAAAAATGGAGGCGCAACGGGGAGCAGACGCATTGTTTACCCAATGCTAGCCAGACATTTCCATTTTCGGCATCCAGCTGTGATGACATGAGTTGATGAGTTGAGAAACATATATGTATATACGGTATATTTGCATTTCTATCAAATAAATGTAATTTAACACAGCCATTTGACAGCTTTGATATTGAAGTTCGACAAATTGAGTTAAGCATTGGAAATTATTAGCTCTGTGGAGGGGAGCCTATCTAATCTTATCAAGCAGTGTAAAAATCGATAAGGCCACCCTTGTAGTAGAAGCACTGACCTATCCCAGAGGGGAGTCTACATAGGGGAATATATATCTATATATAATAGCCTTGGCATATTATTGATAATTTTAGATCACGTGGAGGTCGGGCAAATGGAAACCATTAAATCCCAGTTCCAAGTTGTAGGCGGCTAATAACACAGTGTGGCCGTTGAAAGCAACTCTATAGTTAAATTATCTTTTAATTGAACTGTTCAATTTGTAATGGCATTGAATTCAATTACAGGGTGCTCCTTACTCTAAATGTGCAGCTGCTAATGAGTCGATATACATCGTTCAATGATAACTGTTTCTGCGTTTCTGATACTTTCTTTGCTGCTTTTTTTTTATTTTTTTTTTAGTTATATTAGTTTGACGCGTCACACAACACTACAATCAATGATGATTTGGTGTAATTGAGCGTGGGAAAATATTCGAGTTAAACACAAAAACAACAAACAGTAAATAACATTATTTTTTTTATATAATTGTATGCACACAAAATATGTAAATATGCATGTATGTGCATGTTTTCACTGGAATAAACAACTTGGCAGCCAGCGTTTGTTGTTGTCGTTTTTGTTGGACTGGCATGCAAATCTCAAACACATATTGTTGTTGTTGTTGTTTGCGTTGCATGCAAATCCCAAGCGCAAACACACGAAACAGCGTCATAATAAAAGCAGCACGAAATCAGAAAACACAAAAAACGCAAAAAAAGTATGTCGGTTGTAACTTCCTTGTTGTTCATTGCTTGCAAGCATTTGGCAGAATATTGATTTTCACTGCAGATTTCGTAGCGATTTTTAATTGCAATTCAAATTAGTGTACGCGTTATTAGTCAACACTGGCGGCGCTTCAGCTAAGGAAAAGTTATTAAAAGCGCAGTAGCAATTTGCTAGGTGCGAGCGAGACACACAGCGCATTAGTAAGATAAATTAGAGCGAGCGAGAGAGCGAGCGAGAGTCAGCGAGCGAGGGAATTTGTATGCTAGCTCAACAGTTTCTTTGTTTGCCTTTGGCAGTAAATTGTTTCCCTTTTTTTTGCGATGCACTTTGCGCCTGTCATGACAATCAGTTGTTGTTGTTGTCGCCGTTGTTGCTGCTGCTGCTGCGAGCCATTGTCATATGCTGTTCTCTCGCTCTTTATCCCCCCCTACCCCAACCCTTCAATCAATCACTCTCCTTCAGCGCATCTGTTGTGCTTTTTGCCATTGTTCTCACTGCTCATTGGCTGCTCTTTTTTTCTTTGTTCTTTTATTTATAAACTCTCGCTGATTAATATAAGCTAATTGAATTAAGAACGGCTTTAAATATGCTGATGCATTTGCATTAATCACAATGCATATCTTCCTGGTTTCGCTGATACACACAATTTGGCAAGTTCGCTGACATTAAATCAGCTGGATTAAGTATAGAAAACAATATTTGATAGTTTTTGCTTATACGCACTGGGATCAACTCTAGTTTGCCTCAGGAGTGGGCACAAAAATGTTATTTTTCTCTTTGCTCAAGTTTGACCTTGAGCTGTGTCGTCTCTGTTTATTTATCACTCTCGCGTGGTGTGTGACGGCATAGTCAAATAGACTCTGCCCCACGCAGTAATTTCTTTTTTGTTTATATTATACGCATTTCAGTTGCGGCACGTAGAAGCTGCCACGGCGCCCGAAAACGGGCAACAAACATACCACAATATACCACTTTGAAAGTATGCCCATTGAATAGGCGTAAATTATGTATCAGACTGTAGCAATTGTCTACAGGGTATCTGCTAGTCGGGCAGGGCAATCTCTCTCTCTCTCTCTCTCTGCAGGCGAGATAAGGATGCAGAGCTTTGCCATCGAGAGAGGCCCACTCAATGGCAGCGGCGTTGCGCGTGTCCTGTGCAAACGGAAGCCATTTATGAAATTGCTTTCAACAAGACCGTCCCCAACAGAAACAACAACAACAACTACTAGGCGACATGCTGACGCGTGTGTCATGTGAGATGATGTCGATGAGAATGATGGTGGTCAAGGGTCTCTTGTCTCTCGTCTCTCATCGCTCTGCTCGGTTAGGTTAGTTAGCTGTTCGATTATGGCCCGTGTCAGATGTGAGTTGGAGTAATTAAGGATAAGCAACCAAGCTCGATGGGGTCGGTGGTCGTGAGTGTTGTCTGGAGAGCCGTAAAGAGGCAACACTATCTGCATGCAGCCGAGAGACGACTCCTATCCACTAAGCAGCCCGTAACTTGTGCAACCTTTGCTGAAAATTTAAATTGCTTTTGGTTAGTCTAATTAATTATTTTGCGTTTCACACATTTAACCATCGAATAAATTTACATTTGATTTAATAACGAAAGTTAAGTCAAACCTGAACGACATAGTTGTATGCTTCAATAATTAATACTTGCAAGAATTAGGAATTCAGTCTCTGAAGAACACTTTTCATATCCAATTAATGACAGAATGTCAGTGTCAGATAGTCATATGGTAACATGATGCCCGATTTACACAGATTTATTTACTTTCCTCTTCCTTGGTTAGTTTCTCCATTAGCTCACTGGTTAAACAACTATTGCCACTTGGAAACCACAACGCTGACGTCAATGGAACACAAAATGTCTAAGAACTAGCTAAATAATAATAAAAAATAAAAAAAAACAAAGTGCAGGCAAGCAGGTCCTTGAAGTCACCCGTCTGACATATGATGGGAATTGTTTATCAGCTCGATTCACTCGCATACTCATGTAATATTCATAAATCCTCAGCGCACACTGAAGCACTAAACTTCATCTAATCGGCGCTGTCAGTTTCTATTTATAGAGTCCTCGCACAGGATACACACAGGTGGAGGTAAATGCTGGCTTGCTGCTTTGCTTTGGGGTGGACTGTGTGGCAATCATGTGCATACATAATCAATTTACGACTGTGTGTAAATCGAGAAATTCATTTAAGTTGCCGATGAAAGTAGAGTCAAATTGTCTATGTACGCAATGATGATGATGATAATGATGATGAAGAGACCCAAAACTCCAACTGATCAGCGACAATTTAAATGCACAAAGCGTATAAGTCAACCCCCATTGTGTCGATTCCATATTGGGTTATTCATGATGTGCCCCCTCCCCGAGCATCAACAGCGACAAGAGAAACAGTTACTCGGCACAAGCTTAAGGCGATGCAAGCAGCAGCAGCAGGAGCAGCGACACCAACAACTGTTGCCATCTCATTCTAACTTGTTCACACTTCCGCATTCGCTGCTTGGAATGCGTTCGCTTCCATTTCCATTCATTCATGAATAACACACAACACGCACACTCACACACAACACACACACTTGGAGCGAACTTTGCCTTCTGGGCGCTTTCAAGTTGCGTGTGGGCGTCGAAATGTCAGCCAGCAGTAAATAAAATTGGCGCATTTCTCTGCCGGTCTATTTTATCGCACTTCATTCTATCTCTCTCCCTCCCTCCCTCTCCCTCTTTCTGCTCTGCTCTGCCAGAAATTATTTGCAGGCTTTACAATGGCAACAACAACACAATTGATTATAAATAAGCGCACACAAAATGTTCTAAGTATTTCTTTGGATTACTCGCCAAGCTTATGAAGTGAGTTGTTTTCTGGGAATATGTAAAATTGTCATTTTCTATTACAATTATATTCATATATCTAAGTTTCTATATTTAGATTGTAAGAAAAAAGAATTTCTTTAAAATACTTGATAAGCTTTAACAGCGAAGTGTTTTCGAGTAAAATGTAATATCGCCATTTCTATTATAATTGTTTTGATCTATTTAATTCGTATACCGAAGGACTAGTTTAAATACTGAGATGACTTTTTTAGGAATATGGAAAATTGAAATTTTCTAATATCATTTTAATATTACGTTTAATTTTTAATCAGAAGGATTTATTTAATTATCTTGGGAATGAGGTGTTTTCTAGGAATGTGTAGAATCATAATTTTTTATTACGTATTATTTGTATACACTGAGCCTAATAACAAAAACAATGAGAGCAGAGTTGTCAGAGCTAGCATAGCAGGTGCATTCGAAATGTGATTGAATATGATTGTGAAAACATACTCTAAGAAAAATGAATGAAATTAATGCCATAAATATTAATGAACTGAATTGTTCCAGTTCTCAATCAAGCTATATAAAAGTAAATATATATAAGCAATTAAAACTACATAAAAAACAAAGCGAAATTGCGAGCAGATCTCGTTATGCTGATCATTGTGGCCATGGAAGGTCGACTCTGCTCTAACGGAGCTGTAAGAGCAGCACAAAGAAGCAAAATAAATCTGAGAGATATATCGCAATATACGAATTTTCAGCCTAAACAAATGTGCAATTTGTTGTTTTCTCTGCTTTAATATTTTCTTTTCATTAGCGGCGTTTATTGCCAGCAAAATATAATATAATTCCCAAGCTGCAATTAATTGGAAGAGAGGGGAACACACAGCACATGAATGCGTCAAGTGTGCAAAAGTTTCCTAAATTCATGTTCAAGTTAATTAATTGATGGAAGAGAGAGAGAAAGATAGAGAGAGTGAAGAGGAAGAGATGCTGGCATACTGAGCCTTGGGCATAGAGGCTTTAGCCTTCGGTCGGACAAAAACCACTCAAATTTTCAATATCAAGTTCAATGAAAAACTGACATTGAATGGACGACGACAAGCAGCATTCTATTGCCGCACTGCTCGCACCGCCACAAGCATCACTGAGTTGCAGCAGCGGCAGCTTTTAAAGCGCAGCAAGCAGCAATGTCAAAAGCTAAAGTGCAATAGACAAAAACACACACACACACACAGCTGCAATGGCGGAAGTGTTAATTGTTCTATTGAATATAGAATCATAATAAAATAGAAGACGAGCAAGAGATGTGCTCGGGTCAAAAGCTCGCTCAATTGGACCAATTGACAATGTTGACAGTTGCGGACCAAAAAGAGCAGAGGCCAACAAAGGGATAGATAACGGGACTCTCACGCACGCACACTCGCATACACTTGACTAATGTGTACATACACACACACAATTTATTTTTAGGGCTCGCTGTGTAACACTTACCAGCACTTACCACTTCTCTGCTCTCTGTCAGTTCGTTCTTATCAACACAGCAAGGAATCCTCTTGTCTTTTCTTTATGTATTTTTTTGTAAAAAATATATGTCTTGGCTTTGTTGCTGCAGCTGCTGTTTGTTTTTTCTTTGGCTAAATGTGTTTGCTTTGTTCACTTTACAAATATTGGAGTCAACACTTTAAAATTATTTTTAATAATTAAGCGCTAGCAGAACGTTGCTGCAACTCGCACGAAAAAAAACCAGATAACTTTTTTCTTGTTTTGGGTTCGAGCGAAACACGTCCCACCAATTTTAACACCAGCAGACACTGTGTTCTTTCATGTCACAAGTTAACAAATTATCGATGAATCGATATACGAGCACTGTTGAACAGCTGTTAAGTTAGTTAAGTTAAGTGTTGACAATCGCATCGATGTTACATTTTTTCGGAATTCATAAAATAAACACTTTTCAACAAAAATAACTTTGTGTTTTGCATTTGTTTTTAGTTATGAAATGAAATGCTGAGATGGTAATGCATGCAATTAATTTTTTTGTATCATGTACAACGATAGTTGCAATCGAACAAATGTTAACATTTAAATGTTGAATCGGTTAACATTTGTTGTATCAAAAGCTGGTAGCCCTACTCACCAGTGATGACACAGCTCAAAAATACCGAAAATACTAATTGTATTGCTACAAATTGAAATTGAATTTTGACCGCCAGTTTGTTTGTTTTTTGTTGTTTACTAATAATAATTTTATTCAATCGTTTACAGAAGAAGATATTACCAATTTGGAGAATAAAGCAAATTGCGCAAGATAAACGAACAAATACGCATTGTTTTTACAGTTGTATTTGTAATAATTGATTTAATTCAAATTGTATGCAAATATTGCTTTTGTAATTTATACTTAGTAATACGAATATATGTATATAGTATATAGTCTGAATTGAATATTATATACTTGAAATGCGCAGATTTTAGACATAGATTGTATAGTTGAACAGTTATGTATAGTAATGAATATGAGTATTGCTTATAATTAAGTTATTCGATACAATTGGATTTATATCAAAACGAAAGAATTCTACACAAAATGGCCAAAAAATGGATTTTTGTTTTTCTTTTACCTGTAGCAGGCGGCAACTCATGATTCGGATATAGATACTTAATTGCTTATAATTATAATCGATACAAGTATATAAATATATACCATATACTGCAAACAATATGTCAGCTACGCACTAATCAACAAATTTTTAGGCAATTTTTAAACACATTGTTTTACTCGTAGAGCTGTAAATTTTGAATATGTTTGTTTTATTCTCTTGTATGTTTTTTTTTTTAATATTTTTAAAATATTTTCAAGCACTTGATGTATAGTTTAGCTTAAAAATAAATAAGTTATTTGGTTAGTAAATTGTGTGTAGCATTTTCAACGGAATCTCAACATTGCAAGGAAGATATTTGGCGGCGTTATCTCTATTTTTACTTAATCGTTTGTTTATGGTTTATATAGTCGCCATATACTTGGCTTTAACTTATGAAAATTGCGCTATATAGCTATAGAAATATATAGTATATGTTTGTGGGTGCATTTCTTCTGTGCTGCAAATCTAAGAAAAAAAAAAAGAAAAAAAAACAATAAATAGAAAACTTGTGCCAATTGTGTACAAAAGGAAAACAATAAAATAAAAACATAAAATCGTTTGTCGTTTGGTTTTATTTTAAGCCTTAGCTAATAAATTCTGCTAGAAAATCATAAAAATGTACAATGTGTTCTTTACGTTTTCAATATCGAGATTAATGTTTGATGTACACATATTTCTATATATATATATTATTTGTTTTTTACACATTAGTTATGCATGCATTAACTTACTTGGCTAAGAGGAATTGACTAAAAACTTGTACAAAAACAATGAAACAAGGTCGTTTGCCTCAGCTCCCGAAGACGCTTTGAAGTCTTTGCCAAGAGCACATTGTTAGATTTATAATGGATATGTATTTTTAGTTAGTTAATATAAGCCGTTGACATCTGCTTAAAAAGCAGTCGTCGAGGAGCTGAGGCATTAAATTCAAATAGTCACACTTAAATTAATATTACACATTTATCAAAATTATAGCTAATTTTGCTAGCGGCTCAGAAATCATATAATGTACATAATGGTTTCGTTTTTTGTATTGTATTGTTTTGTTTTTCTTTTTTGATTGAGGATTAACCCCCGAATAACAACATAATGAACAGCAAAATGGGGGACTTTTATCTTTTTTGGGATGTACAACAAAATAATCTAAAAAATTCACGAAATGTTTGCACATGATTTTCCAAGAAGTTTTCTGGTTTGGATATTGTTTTGTTTTCTTATTTTTTTGTTTGTTTTTGGACAAAACTCTGTTGTCGACACAGCCAAGCAGAGGTTGTTGCTTAAAGTATGATCTCTGTGGAGCGTCGCTGGAGCGGATCACAGGTGTAGTCTGCATCTCCGCCCACCGGCGCGTACTTGGAGCTGCTGCGCTTCGTCCTCAGTGCGGGCAAAGTGGTTGTGGTTGTGTTCGTGATGCCATTGTGAGAGATGACAGCGGTGCGAGTTCTCGGTTGCTTGGCAACGGTGATGACGCTGGGCGTTAACGTGGCGGTGGAGCTATCATTGCTACCTGATGCAGCTGCTCCTGCTGCTGTTGCTGCACCGGAACATTGCAACTGGGCCCTTGGCGGTGGCGGCAGCGGTGTGCGTGGCTTCACTGGCAACTCCTGCAGCACAGCGGTTTTTCGTATGGTCTGCTGCAGCAGGGCATTAACATCGATGGCTGGCCACGCGACCAGCGAGACACTTCGTCATAAATGTGAGTCCAGCAGCGAGGGGCTGCGCTTAAGACGAATATGCTTGCTCCAGCTGGCACTGTTGCTGTTGCTATTGCTATTGCTATTGGTGGTGTTGTGGCTGCCCTCTTCTTTGCCACCCGTGGCGGAGGCGAGCGAAAAGTATTCGGCAGATTGACTTAGCGAGGAGGCATCCGCATCGGTTATGGCATTCACATCATCATCATCATCATTGTCCGCCAATTCGCTGTGCATCGTGTGCTCCTCGGTGCTGAGCGGTGTCAGGGTGCTGCTATGCAGATCTGCATCCTGTGTTGGAGTGCTCCTTATCGTGTGATCCGCAGCGGTGCGATAGGATTCACGCTGTCCGGTCGTCTCATCGTCATCGTCCTCGTATTCGCCACCGGCATAATTCTCCTCGTCGCTGCAACGGCCACAGCAGCAGCTGTTTGTGCGGCAGGAACAGAAGCTCTTCAAGCTACTACGACGGCTGCCCATTTGTTGTTGTTGCTGCTCGCTGCTCGCACAGCGATGGCAGTCGGCGGCAACGGTCATCTCGTGGGCTAGATCCTCGTCCAGGCTGCTGCAGGAGCTGGTGCGCGCCTGATCACAGCTGCAACTGGAGCAACGCGAGCAACTGCTGCAATAATCCTGCATCGCATCGGGATCGAAACGTTTACGCTTAATCCTCACGCATTGGTTGCGTGGCGGAACAGAGCCGGCAAAGGCTCGTGCTGTGCTGCTGGAGCTGCTGCTTGGCCGTTTGACCATCGATGGTGTCAATTGCTCCTCATCCTCGGGTTGCACGCCCAGACGCACATCATCATCGTCGTCATCGTCATCGTCGTCGTCATCGTCAGCGTCGGCGTCATCGTCAACATCGTCGACATCGGCGTCGTCATCTCGGGACAGCTCATCCGTTTCGATGGTCGTATTGGAGTTGATGGAGGCGCGTCGCCGTCGCTGACGATGCTGCTCGCAGAGCGGAATTAGATTCATGGGCGCACCGCCGCCCTCGCTGGCAACCTTATATGGAAAATTTGAGGTGGCAGTGCTGCTGTTATTCTCCGTTACGGTGGCCGCATCAATCTCAATCGCAATGACATTCGAATGCAGTTGCGGCTGCTGATGCTGATCCTCGCTGGAGTCCAAGGAAGACTTGTTGTGTGTGTGGTTCGCCTTGTTGGCTGGAAGCGGACTGCGCTTGGAATGCAACTGCTGTCGGGATTGCGTCTGCTGATGCTGCTGCTGATGATGATGATGATGATGATGACGGCGTCGCTTGCCGCCGCCGCCGCCGCCACTGTTGCTGCCATAGTGATGATGATGACAGTGATGATGGCAATGATGATGCGTCACCTGGCAATGGCAACCGGATCCGCAGCAGCAACAGCAACGTTCCACTGGCGTCTGTGTGGCATTGTGTCGCTTGCGCCGATGGCAACAGCTGTTACTGTGACTATGATTGAGCTCCTGTGCACCATTGCTAACGCCTCGCGCATTGCTCGACTTGTGCACAATGACCACCTCGAGATCATCGAGAGCAACGGCAACGGCAGCGGTGGCATTGCTGCTCTCATGTTTGCTCTGACTCTTGCCACTGCCGGCCGAGCGGGAAAGTAACAGCTTATTGTTGTTATTGTTATTGTTGTTGTTGTTGTGATGATGGTGATGATGATGATGATACTGAAAGGCTCGATTGTCGTGACACTGGCCAAAGTCGAGTGTTTTGAAGTGCTCGTCATCGGCTCGTGCCGTCAGCAGACGATCGTCGCCGCTGCTGCTGATTGTAATTGGAAGCGATAATTGTCGCTCCTCGGAATGCGAATTGTGCAGTTCGTGTTGTTGTTGTTGTGTTGTTGTTATTATTTGTTGTTCTTGTTGTTGATTAAGTGGAGGCTGTTGTTGCTGCTCTTCGGGGGCAAACTGCTAATCACCGCGTCTCAGATCGCGCGGCTTCGTATTGTGGCGATACAGCCAAACCTGCAACAATATTGCCAGATCCAGGCTGACCTGTGAAACAGAGAAAGTTGTTGATTAGTTAAGTGAGTGATAAGTTAATTCTAATTTTTAATCATTAATGGCTACGTTGCTTGCAGCTTTGTGATAATAGTTATCTTATATTATTCAACATCGATCCAACTATCATTACAATTATAAACTATTAAACTCCACAACTGATTGGATGGATGATGTAAATATATATATATATATATATTGACATGAAGCCATATTTAATCATAAGAAATTATAAGTGATAGATTATTGACTTTGTTTGCATTGTCTAAGTGTTTTCAAACAATTTTTACGTGTACATTATTTGATATTTGAGTTATTTCATTTTCATTTGCCAAATTTGTTAACGAAATGTTTTAAATTTTTTTTATAGCAGCTACAATTATATTTTTGCATGTTTTCTTAAATGAATCGTGGAATAATTATGAGTTCTTTGAACTTTTTTTATCATTTAAAAGTTTCCCATGTAATAAAGTGCAAAGTGCGACAGACTTAAGTTAATTATTATTTTTTTGATATATTTTATTTGTGCTACGAGTATTTGAATGCCCTAGCAGATGGTATTTTATTTTTCTCGCAATGATTATCAAGATTGGACAAGCATATCATATAGCTTTCATAGCTTGTAGTGTTTTTTATAATTAATAGTTAACTTCGACATGTGCAAAACAAAACGTAGCCGTTAATCTTTGTTAATTTGTGTATTTGTCCGTTTGATTTGTATTTGTAGAGGATTTTACGCACCTGCAACGTGCCACAAATCCAGAATTGCGAGGGTGCTTTTCTAGCGACAAAGTAACCAGTCTTGAACATATCACCGAGCGTCCACATGACCACCATGTGTATGCTCATACCATATGTGGATTTGTTTTGAAAGTTGCGCAGAAACTGCGGCGCACCTGCAAAATTTAAATAAATATTATTATTTAATTATTTTAATATTGTGTGCCAGCTGCTAGAATACTGTACCCAACATGGCCTCTGTGAAAACGGCCACAAAGCCCATGGCCTCCATGAACCAGTTGACGGGTAGCATCAGATATGTGACGGCAGCGCCAATGGCCCATACGACGAGCATCATGTCCAAATACGATTGAAAATCTGTCCAGTTCCAAAAGTATTTGAAATCCAGATCTGAAATATGATTAATATATATATATATATATTATAATGTAATAATAAAGAATAATAAATATGAAAATACTTTTCATATAAACAAATACATTTTCAGTTTTCAGTTAAAAAAAAAAAACAAATGCTAATATCAGATTTACCTACACTGTTATATGGGTATAAAAGGACTCTTGGCCAGGTTAGTTAAAAAGTTGATGAATAAGGAAGAGCTTTGGAGTCATGGGTCGTTTGATAATTGTGTCAAGTATTTGTATCGCGAATATATAAATAAAAAAAATCGTTTGCAATATTTGCACTATCGTGATTATATAGAAAGAAAACATTTAGATTTATTTCCACTACTCGAATAGTGTTACTTTGACGCTATATAAGGTAAAAGTATTCCGAAATCAATTGCTATTATTGTTGCCTGCTTTTCAGCGTTGAACAGGGGCAACACACACTTGCAACACATACACACAGCACACACAAACTAAGATAAGCAAGAAGCCCAAGGCGTGCCACTATAATTAGCTCAATGTTATTTCAGTGGCGCTTGTTCATTGATCAATTTATGGGCCACGTTTCCGCCTACTAGCCCAGTTTTTTTTTGTGCTTGCCATTTGCGCGAACGCAGATTGATAAGACAAAAGGCCAAAATACACTGCAAATGGTACATTTAGATAAAGCCTCCAAAGGAGCACCATAAAAATTGAAAATGCGAGTATATATTTTTAGTGTGTGCTGTCTTTTGCTATATAACATGATATGGCCGGAAATTGCCGTCAACTGTCGCTGTCACGAACAGTAAATGAAGAGCACATAAAAAAAGTTTTCAATGAGAACTGCACCTTAAAAATGTGGGTCGAACTGTGCCAGACTAGACTTACCATTTATATAATGTCTGGAACGTGCACGTTTCAGCCCACCTGCATCACTCGTGGAGACGGAGGCGCCTGTATCCGTGTCCGTCAGCACTTTTGGCAAGTGCAGCTCGTCGCCTAAAAAGGAATAATGTGTATTAGGCTTAATCGAATTTATTAGCCGACAGCCGGGAGGCGTAGGAGCACTCCACTCACCGCGAAGCGTATGTTCTCGTGTATTGGCACCCATCCGTTTCACCTTCACGCACAGGTGTATCATTAGGAACATGGTGACATTCATGACCACACTCTGCACCAGCAGTGGAAGCTCAAAGCGGCTGGAGAACCTGCAAATGATTAAATATCACATTAGTTTTTGTTGCCATGCCTGATACACTAAATGGCATTATAATTGGCCACACGAAAATGGTTCAATCAATGGAAGTGAATCGACTGCGAATGGCTTTTGGGACATAACTCACACAATCAATGAATAATTGTCGAGTACTGTTATCAAATTTGGCCCAATGAGGTTAATAAGTGTTCATAAAACAGTCAAACTAGATACAAGTAAGAAATATTTAGTAGAGTGAGCCCGATTGCAAGATAGTTTGATCTAAATATCGATAGTTATCGATAATTTTAAATTTGGTTTAAGCCCAATTTGAAGTCCTAGGCTATATAAACTCGGCTGTTGAATCTGATCAAGAATATATACTTTATGGGGTCGCAGATGCTTCCTTCTGCCCGTTTGCACAAAACGATTAAAAATAGTTTTTAGTTTTTACAGGCAACTTTAACAACGTTTAATAAGCTTAAGCTTGAAATGCCAAATTCGTTAATTCAGCTAGTAAAAGTTGCAAACATATGATTACGCAAGTTTTACACATTTTTAATGGATACTAAACACATACACAGAATTTCTTTTTGTGTTTTTCGCCAACTAAGTGAGTTAAAGGTCAAAAGCACTTGACATTTAATTTTATGCCCAGGTGAGCAGAGGTGAAAACAACTTTTATGCAATTCCCAAACTAATAGAAACCCATTTATCTTGAAATGGGCAGAAAGTGTTTAGTTTTCACGCAACTTGAGCCTTTTTTCAGGCAATACAAAATTAATAAATATGTTTTAATGTTTATTTGATACTTTTCTTTATAATGCATGCACCCTTTAAAAATGACTTAAGAGGATAGCTCAAAATTTTACTAATGTACTCATATCTAAGAATACTTTATTTTTGCCAAAACAAAATTCACAGATCTGCTTTGCATAATCAAAGCTTAATAGCAATTTGCATAAGATAACAACACGTTGTGGTTATTTTTAAATTGTGATTAACTCAGGCATATCAATATGAATTTAGTACACGATTTATTATAGAACCAAGTCAATTGTGGAGAGCGTACTTGGGGATATTAAAATATGATTAATGTTGTAAGTATTTTGTTTTGAGAGCCTTCAAAACGACGCTGCATAGAATAAATTGAGATTCATTCGGGAAATGATGATTTATGAACAGATTTCTGGGCCTACAAAATCGATTATGTGCTTTAAGAGGACCAGAACTGAACATTTATTTTTGTATATGGCAGGGAGACAGCTTTCAGTGTCAAGCGAAGCTGTCACACAGCTGACACAACGGCAAGTGTTGGCCACGTTTGTGGCAAAAGGGCCAACAACAACAACAACACACAACTACAGAGTGAAATAGGCAAACAATGGAACTGGAACGTGTTGAACATTTGGCAAGGCAACCAAAAAAAAAAAAAAAGGAAAAAATGGTGAGATATGAAAAGGAAACGAAGTTGGAAGGCAATACCCAAACGCATTTGTTAGGGATTTGTTTGTGTGTCATAGTCGATAGGCTGTGCTATTAAAAGCTCTTAATGAATGGTTTTTTGTCGGGTGATTTGTGATAAGTCTCTGCGCACCCAGTAGTCACAGAGTTAGTTCATAACATATAATATTCATACTGTGGATACGAACCTAAATAAATGTCAGCTGGAGGCAGGCAGGCAGGCAGGCAAATGAAGCGAACCCCAAAAGTAGACAGCGCTTTTGATTATCACGATAACAAGTTTGTCAGCCAGTTTGGTGCGATTTGCTTGTGTGCTGAATGAAATTTAATTACAAGCTCTGGCATTTAATGCCGTTCTATGTTTGGGAGCCAAGCCTACATACACAAATTGGCAACACAGTCTTGTTGCCAAATGACATGCACAAATGGGCAAATACTCGTAAATAGCTTGGTGCGAGATTGCGAATGTCAAATGGGGCGATAACTGCCGTCAGAAATAAACAACTACCTATTTGGTTAATCGGTAGAAAAGTTCGAAATTGAAATAATTTTTGGGTACAATTATCAAACGGAAAATACTCTTTGGGCTTATTGCTAGCACATATGTATATGACACGAATTTAGGTGCCGTTTCCGATTCTGGTACGTAAACTAAACCAATTTCGGTATTTCTGCATTGCAGTAGTAGAAAACTTACAGCTTGCTTTAAGTGCAGCAGTTCAGCACTTAGTGGTTTGCTGGTACATAGAACGACCATTGTATTATTCCACTGAGCCAAATTCGCATTGAAGCAATCCTTTTGATCAGTTCTAATCAAATGCTGCTCTTTGTTGTTGGTGGCGCGACCCGTATAACAATAAAGTGCAATTTGCCATGCTGTTGACATTTGCACTTTCCAACTTGCAACTGCACAAGTGCCCCAAAACACCACTGCCCTCACTCGGTACTTTTTCTTATCACTTGAGTGCAGTTACGGGCTTTAAAACGTTAAATTGTAAAACACAGTTGTTACTATCAAAGCAGCGTAAAGTGTTGTAAAAGGTGGAACTAGGGGCATCAGCAGGAAGCAGAAGTGAAAGACAAACGGGAGAAATTATCGTAGTAGGAAAATTCGTCTTTTTATTAAACTATCCGATTTCCTTTTGAGGGTATACAAGTTGTTGCCATAGTTTTTCCACTTTGTTAAGCTTAACTTTTAAATTGCAAAATAAGAAGAGTCAACAGCAGAGAAAGTTATACACACCAATACACTCAGCCACACACACACACACACAATCCATTTTGCACACTTGTGCGTGTAAAATATGTATGTATGTAGTAGTTTGTAAAAGTCGTAAAAAATCGATAAAATTCGAAACGCTTCGGCGGCTTCATATTTTGCTGCAAACGGATTGTTCTCGCTTGCCCCAATATAATGTAAATAATTTCAGTTATGCATGCCGCCTCGTCGGACAACCGCCATTTGACGACTCACTCTTGCCTCATGCCACATCACACACACATGCATTCACACAGCATTTCGCAGGCGCTTTTTCATGGCCAATTTGTGCAAATAGCCGCAACGATTTGACTGAAAGACTTGCGCTTGGCAAAACGAGCAAAGTTTCATGGGGGGGACAAAAACATTTATCCAAAAAATAAGAATAGCTTTAAGGCTGGCATGTTTGACTAGCAGATATCCTGTCTGTGGACAGGTAAAATACACACAAATAAAATACATTTGATTTAAATCTTCTTTGCATTTAGTACAAATCAACTTTAATTTCAAATTAAAAATCATTGAAGGGAAAATCACGTTTATATAGTACTATACTGTACTACATTTCACAAAGTTCATTACACTCCCATTTATACAGCTTACAGGGTATGGAAAGCATACAAATGCCGCTTAATGCTGATGAAGTTTTCATTGATAAATTTAAGCAATTTCTTCTCGATTTTTTTTTGTGTCTGCCTTCACTTGCCTTGGTAAATGAAGTCACATTCGGTTAGGGCAATTTGTGTGTTTGCTTATTTGTTAGGTTTGTGTGTCCTTCACACCCCCCTCCCTGCTCAAGGGATGTATGTGCTAGGATGTCCGCTTGCAGACATATGTATGTGTGTGTGTATATAATTAAAACTGTGCCGCCTTTAATGCACTGTTTGCTCAAGTGTGTGCGCCGTTTTGTTTGCTCATAAGCGCAAACACACACACACACGCACACACACACACACACACACACACACACACACACGCACACACATAGAGTGAAATTTAATTTGCCTGGAAGTAGGCTACACTTGGCAAGTTGGGCAGCAGTGGCTGAAGCACTCAAACCAATTGAGTACATGTCATCATCGCCGTGTGAAGAGGCCTCCTAACGAACTGAATGTTCAGGCATTCTCCGAGCGCCACTTAAGCCTGAATCTGAGCATGAAGACAACGAGCTACATACATATATACATTTAAAAAAAAAGAAGACACAAGTATGAATAGTGTATGTTTGTTCCATTGAATGCGCCCATTTAGTGGCTATATTATATATATATATATATATATATTGTGTGCATATGTGTGTGCGGCCGCCAAGATTTGTGTAAATAAGGCGTTGCTGATGAACCAGCCAGTCAACCAGTCAGTCCACAAGCCGTAGTAATTATCCTTGAAAAGCGAAAGGCTCAACGCGACTCGGCACCGTTTCCCTTTGACGAGGCGTTGAATGAGAAACTGGGTCGTTCAGTGGGTGTATTGCTTGTTTTAAGCTGCTAAGCTATTTGGATGACCTTGCTGGGATTTGGGTACAAGTCGATGAGGTCGAGAGTGATGGACTCGAAATAAAACTAATGGCAAAAACACCTGCTGACCGAAGGGTACACATTGGATTAGGTGCAGATCTCATGAAAGTTGCTTCCATCTTTTATAAATAATATATATTTCTGTATATCGACTATCGGATATAAATTAGACTCAGTTTTGTACTTTGTTGCAGGTCTTTGTTTTCAGTAAGAATAATGAGAATCAAGAATGATTAACTACTTTCCACATTTTTTAAATACTGATTGACTGATTGGTGATTTTTTGCTTATAATTTAATGAGCCAAACAAGATATTGTGCTTTAATCCCTATATTTATCAGGTTGTCGCAGGACATTTCTTGGTCGACTTATCTTATGGAGAAGAGCATTCTTACTTGTTTCAAATTGATGTACGTTATTTTCTCGCATCTTCTGTCAATAGTCATGACAAAATGAAATGTTCTCAAGTTCATTGAGTTCACGAAGTTTAGATTAGCAAAATAAATTGATGACAAAACGAAACGCATAACAGCAATACTGATTATATTAAGTTGCTTTATTTGCTCAATGAAAATGAATACATGTGCACATTTGACATGTTTGGAGGTTCTCACTCTCACATGCCGCTAAGCTGCCCATCAACACAACTCACATTATATTCGCCGGCACAGCTGGATGGGAAAGCTATTCCAAATTACGGCGGAGCAGCAGCAGCAGCTACGGCAACGGCAACACCCACAAGTGATAACAGAAGAGCCGGCAAGCAGATGGCAA